GTACTACTCTTGCTACCTTTAAAAAAGCTGTAAAGATGGACCTCTTCCGGCAGGTCTTCCAGGAATAATCTTCCAACCTGAGGGGAGATAGTTTCAACTGTCCCTTGTCTGTAGCTCGCTTCATTTTTTGAGTTTATTGTTTTATTGTAATGTATTGTTTGTTTGGTTTTAGACTGTATTATGTTTTAATCTCTTAAAGTTTAATCTTGATTTAGGGGGTGGGAGGGGGGTTATGGGGATAAGGCTTGTTTTAACTTTGTATGTTTTAAAATGTTGTAACCCGCCCCGATTGCAGAACAGAGGGGTGGGCTAGAAATAAAAATTATTATTATTTATTATTATTATTATTATTATTATTATTATTATTATTATTACTAGTAAGATTCTTCATATTAAAAGGGGGGATGGGAAAACAATATATGGGGAGGGCACTGATCTCTTTTGAAACATTACGTGCAAATCTGGGAAGCACTGAGTACACTTCAGCTAGTATTGAAATATGACTATCATTATTTAAATAAGCCACACCAGACAATACAATTATGCAGTGTGACAAGAATGGAAGCTGGAAAAATCAGTGTTGTCAGAAACTGTTTAAGGGCAAGAAAGGTGATTGGTGATAAAAAGCAAGTTCCACGGTGAAGATAGTGCCACAGTAAAGCCTTGATCACCTGCTGAAAAGATTAAGGATGGAAACATCACTCGGTGCCTGTTGTGTCACTTTTACATATAAAAACAACAAAGTCGTGTGGCACATTAAAGACTAATTTTTTTTTTATTTATCATAAATTTTCATGGATTGCAGCCCAGTTCATCAGGTGCACATCAGAATATATTCATATGTATCTACCCATCCTACCTCATTCCACATTAAGCAGAAGGATTTTTAATGCACAAAATTTATTTTATATTACCTATTTGTATTTTTTATAATATAAAAGCTGTCTCAAAAAGTCACATTTTAAGTCCACTTGTATATATATCATTGAGAATGACAATCAGCCAGAATCCTGCTGATTAATCCCAACTAGAGTAAAACCATTACAGCAAACGTTGAATGCTAAGTCATTCATTTATAATGAATAAATGAAAAACAAAAAATGGTGAAGTAGAAAAATTCACTAGATAGACAATTGAATCTGCACATTACTCCACGAGGTGCAGATCAACTCAGTTCCTATCAGAATTCATAAAGAGTGAATTCCTCAGTCACCCTGACTTAATGGCAGATAGATTTCTCTGATAACAGATGATTTAAGATTGGCATAGCAGAAGGAAATCTGGGGTAGAAAGTTGGAGACTATAATTTGAAGACCATGAGGTGGGTTTTGCAGTAAAGTTCATGGTTGCTTCTGTTTTCTCATGATTTTAATAATAATAATAACAATAAAGTTTATTTTTTATTCCGCCCCTCTGCAACGCATTTTCTCATACTTATGTAGTATTTTCCTGTGCATGTTTAAATAGATAAAAAAATGTTTGTTTTCAGCAAGTCATTATCACAATCTTGATATAACAGTTCCATCACAGCATGCAGAAGTCTATTATTAATATATTTCCAGAGACTTCATTCACTGTTTTTCAGTTCCAATTATGTCAGATAGGATGGCACTTGGAAAGAGAAAACTGAACTGAATGAATTTAGAATTTAAACGCATGGAGCTGTTACCAACTGAATGTTCAAACAGACATAGTTGAAAACCTGCTGGCTATAGTTCTTCTATACAATGAAGCCATAGATTTCTAATAGTTTCTTGCTGTTGCAGTTCACCTTGGAGGGCTGTTATGAAAGAACTAGAAAAGATTCTAAAATGCAAAGATATACAACTCAGCACAAAAAATAGAATCATACAGAAAGAAATTGAAAAGCTAAAAGAGAATGTTTGGTAGAAAACAAGGACAACTGAGAACAAAAAAAGTGGGAAAAGAAAATATGAGAATAAGTGGGAGAAAGGGACTTCCAATTGAGGGAAAGCTGATACTGGCTAGATGAGTATTAGAGAAAAGAAGATCAGTATAAAAGGAAATGTTGGGGAAGGGGAGAAGAGTGTAAGCAGAGCTTGGAATATTAGATTAGGAAATTAAATGTTACATGTTAGAAACGTTTGGGAGAAAAGAAGACATTTCTTCCAGGAACAATGTAAATTTAGCTGTTATCTTTTAGCTTAAGGACCACCTAAACAACACCTTAGAGTGTGAAATGCACTGAAGAAAGGCAGGGGGGAAA